CAATCGTAACAAAAAGAATAAAATACCTCGGGGTAAATTTAACTAAGGAAGTGAAAGACCTATACAACGAAAATTACAAGGCTTTTCTGAAAGAAATGGTTGGCGACATCAAGAGATGGAAAGACATTCCATGTACAAGGACTGGAAGAATAAACATAGTTAAAATGTCTATTCCACCTAAAGCAATCTACAGATTCAATGCCATCCCAATCAGAATCCCAACGACATTCTTTACAGAAATAAAACAAAGAATCCTAAAATTCATATGGGGCAACAAAAGACCCCAAATTGCTAAAGCAATCCTGAGAAAAAAGAACAAAGCTGGAGGCATCACAATCCCTAATTTCAAAACATACTACAAAGCCACAGTAATCAAAACAGCATGGTACTGGTACAAAAACAGGTGCACAGATCAATGGAACAGAACTGAAAGCCCAGAAATAAAACCACACATCTATGGACAGCTTATCTTCAACAAAGGAGCTGAGGGCATACAATGGAGAAAAGAAAGTCTTCTCAACAAATGGTGCTGGGAAAACTGGAAAGCCACATGTAAAAGAATGAAAATTGACTGTTCTTTTTCACCATTCACCAAAATAAACTCAAAATGGATCAAAGAACTAAAGCTGAGACCTGAAACCATAGGGCTTCTAGAAGAAAATGTAGGCAGTACACTCTTTGACATCAGTATTAAAAGGATCTTTTTGGACACCATGTCTTCTCCAACAAGGGAAATAATAGAAAGAATAAACAAATGGGACTTCATCAGACTAAAGAACTTCTTCAAGACAAGGGAAAACAGGACTGAAACAAAAAAACCACCCACTAACTGGGAAAAATATTTGCAAGTAATACATCCGACAAAGGCTTAATACCCATGAAGAACTCACACAACTCAACAATAAAAAATTAAACAACCCCATCAAAAAGTGGGCAGGAGACATGAACAGACATTTCTCCAAAGAAGATATACAGATGGCCAATAGGCACATGAAAATATGTTCATCATCACTGATCATCAGGGAAATGCAAATCAAAACTACACTAAGATATCACCTTACATCCATTAGAATGACAAAAATATCTAAAACTAATAGCAACAAATGTTGCAGAGGTTGTGGAGAAAAAGGAACCCTCATACACTGCTGGTGGGAATGCAAACTGGTGCACCCACTATGGAAAACAGTATGGAGATTCCTCAAAAAACTAAAAATAGAACTACCATATGACCCAGCTATCCCACTACTGGGTATCTATCCAAAGAGCTTGAAGTCAGCAATTGCAAAAGTCCTATGCACATCTATGTTCATTGCAGCATTATTTACAATAGTCAAGACGTGGAAGCAACCTAACTGCCCATCAACAGATGATTGGATAAAAAAGATGTGGTATATATATACAATGGAATACTACTCAGCCATAAAAAAGAACAAAACCGTCCCATGTGCAACAACAGGGATGGACCTTGAAGGAATTATGTTAAGTGAAATAAGCCAGATAGACAAGGACAATCTCTGTATGACTCCACTCATATGAGGAATTTAAATGCGGACAAAGAGAACAGATTAGTGGCTACCAGGGGAAAGGGGGGTGGGGGGTGGGCACAAAGGGTGAAGGGTTGCACCCACAACACAACTGACAGACAATAACGTACAACTGAAATTTCACAAGATTGTAACCTATCATTAACTCAATAAAAAATTAAAAAGAAAAAAAACCAAAGTTGATGCAAAAAAAATTCATGATGAACACAATATGAAAATTTGAAAAACAGAGAGAGTATTACTGATTTTTCCTCTTACCTCAGGCTCCAATATAGAGCAGCAAAGCAGTTACTGATCCCGACTTTAAGATTTTGATATTTTGTTCCTATTTTTTGCATTAATTTTAAGCTTTAAAATATTATCTTGAGTTTTTTCAAAACCTTTCTTAGAGATCTAAAGAAATGCATGCAGAGCAAATACTGTAGATGAAATCAATTTTAAAAACTAGTCTAAACTCTGAAATGCAAATGGAAAAGTCTTTCTTTTTCCGGTATCGTTATCTGGAAAATCATGTTGTGAGTCCATTTTGTGGAAAGCAAAATAGTGCTCCTCCCCAAAGATGTCCATGTCTTAATCCCCAGAGGCAGTGAATATGTTGCTTTACATGCAAAAAGGACTGGGCAGATACAATTAAGGATCTTGAGAGAGGGAGATTATCCTGGATTATCTGAATAGGCCCAAGATAATTACAAAGGTCCTTACAGGTGGAAGGCACAAGGGTCAGAGTAAGAGAGACAGAAGCAGAGGTCAGAGAAACAGATTTAAAAAGTTATGGTGCCAGTGTTGAAGATGGAGGAAGAGGCCACAAGCCAAAGAATGCACGTGGCCTGTAGAGCTGGAGAAGGCCAAGGAAATGGATTCTCCCTTAGAGAAGGAACACAGTGCTGGTGACACCTTGACTTTAACCCAGTGAAATCCCTTCTGGACTTCTGACCTCCAGAAGTGTACGATAAGAAGTCCTTGTTGTTTTAAGCCACTACATTTGTGCCAAGCTGTTACAGCAGCAACAGGAAACTAATACACATCTTTTAAGGTTTGGGGCCTGAAACCTCCAGTGCTCCACTTCATACAACCGTACTCTTTTAACATGCCATGGCTTCTAGAAAATATTTTTAATGGGCAAATACAAAATTTCTGAGAAGCCACTTTAAACAGGCAAAAGAGCATTGATATTGGGGCTGGCCCTGTGGCCCAGTGGTTAAGTTCACACACTCTGCTGCAGGCGGCCCAGTGTTTCGCTGGTTCGAATCCTGGGTGCGGACATGGCACTGCTCATCAAACCACGCCGAGGCAGCATCCCACATGCCACAACCAGAAGGACCCACAACGAAGAATATACAACTATGTACCGGGGGGCTTTGGGGAGAAAAAGGAAAAAAATAAAAAAATCTTAAAAAAAAAAAAAGAGCATTGATATAGAACTCAACACTTAATAAGGGTATGACCAGAACTCTCAAACTACTAGTAGTTCAGCAAAATAAGAAAATGAAAAGTACAAAAATATGTTCATGGCAGACTTCATTTATAATACCTAAACGGTCTAAATGTCAACAATTAGGAAACTGTTGACTAAGTCATGGTGCAGTGATATTATGAAATATTATGCAACCAGTCAAAATTATGCTGTGACAATCTTGAGTGACATGAGGAAATACTTAAGTACAATCTCCACTAAAGACATAAAAATATTACACATACAAAATATACAAAGTAAAATCTCAAGTAACTTAAAATACATATATACATTATATACATAAGGGAGAATAAAAATGCAGGAAAATATAAAAAGCTAGTCATCTTTGTGATAGGAGCACGTTGATTTTAATTTTCTTCTTTAAACTTTTATATAACTTCCAAATTTTCAACATGCACATTTATTTATTTACAATCCATCTCACTACTAAAAATTAATTGAAGACACTTAAAGGTAAGCCTACATTATGTTTCTAACTGAAGCATGAATTCATGAGTCAATCTGGTGCTATTTTCCTAGGTGGAAACTTAAGATACTACACACTAAATATATTGTAATAATGTTTACATTATCAAGTAATTTCTACCTATCAATTAATATATTTATTCAAACTTAGCCTAAATGCTTAAGAGCACACAAAAAACTGAGAGCCATCAAAATAACTAAGTCTTTCTCCCAGTCCATCTGACCTCTGATCTCACCTGCCCCTTGCCTACTCCACTCTAACTACACTGGCTCCTTGGTGTTCCTTGAAGATGGCAAGCACGCTCCTACCACAGGGTCTTTGCCTGGAATGTTCCTCCCCTATGTAGCCATGTGAATATTCCCTCACCTCCTCTGACGCCTTGATTCGAATGTCACTTCCTTAATAAGGCCTCCATGTACCTCCTTATTTAATACTCAAACCTGCCCTCCATCCTGGCACCCTTCATTCTGTTTCAACTTTGTTCTTTCTCCACAGCATTTATCATCTTCTAACAAACTACAATTTTTTAAAAAATGTATGTTGTTCAACGACTTTCTCCCTCTACTGGAAAATAAACTCAAGAGAAGGACTTTAGTGGTGGTGGAACCTCATTTAGTCTCTGATATGTCAAATGAGCCTGAGACACAGCAGGTGGTCAATAAATATTTGTTGGATATGAATACACTAATGACATGTCAAAGGACAGAGTTAAGAATAAATCTCTAACAATCGTACCTACTATTTAAAACTGGACAATTTGCTGTGCATGTGTAATCAAGCAAAATATATGGCATATAAAGCTCTTAGAAGAAAACTTGGCCATCTGTATCATTCCTGTATGTTTCAGTTTGTGTTCACCAAAGACTTCCAAGTGACTTATTGAAAACATCCCAATTTTATTTTGTTAACACTGTGCAGTACAGACTGTATAAGCAGAGAAGCAAATTAAGTAGGTTTAAAAACATTTATGTATTAGGCCAAATAGGCTGAAATGCTGTATACAAGATCCAATAGTACTGTGCACTATTAAGCCAAAACAGCTTTTTAGATTACACTTGCTGTTATCACACACATTATAGACAGTGGAACAGTTCAGATGGAGAAAGCCAAATCCTGGTATAAATTCTGATACGTGATAAACCCCTATAACTTTCGATTTCAACTGATACTTGTCCAGATTGCAAATGCTCATTGTCCCAGTAAGACATCATTTTGGGAACGGGGAAGCCCAGTCAAATATCAAAGGCCCGGCCCATTTTATGAATCAATATGCACAGGTGAAAACTGCTTAATACCTGAAATGGAACCCAATCAGAACTTACTTCCCTCTGATGTCATAAGTAACCAGACTCTCCCTATTTATTTACTTACTTTTAAAGCAATTCTCAACTTAAAATGCTTTACTCCCAGGGTGTGAGGTATAAACCCTGAGCCAAGGTCTCTATAACTCCTCAACAAAACAGGTCTCACAGAATGCAAGGGACAAGTCTCCCCGAAGATGCCGTGTAGCCAATACCTCTGAGTGACGTTCTACACTTCCAGTGTCTGATCCAGAGTGCTGCTCATTTACATCATCCTCACCGTCTGACCCTGAATCCCGTTCATCCTGCACTGGGGTAGCGCCACCATCATCTGCTTAAAAATAAAACAAAAACCCACTTAAGGTGTAAGATGGATGACATCTACAGCTGAAATGAACACAAATGAGTCAAGAACAATGCAAGAGCAAAGGTTACCACCGATGAGGCAGAACTAGTGATGCTGACACTGTGAATAAGACAACAGGATAACACTTATACAAATACCAACAATCATGACATGTATTGAGACAAATGTGGCAGCAAAAATACATCATAAAAGGAACATGAAGCTTAAGAAACATCACTAAGGACCAAGTGGACAACCTCTAAGTAACAGTGTGCTCTTTAACTATTTCAACTTTCTGTGAAAAACTGCGTCTGTTCTCTCCACAGCACGCACTTACCACCTCCTAATGTACTATGCGACTTACCAAGTTATTCTGCTTACTGTGGGTCTTTCCTCACTTGAAGGAAAGTGCCAAAAAAGCAGGGATTTTGGCTCACTGCTGAATCCCTGGAGCCCAAAACACTGCCTGGTACCTGACGTACAGCATGTATTTGTTTATAAAACAAGAGCACAAGGAACTCCAGTCCAGAAACAGTGCAAACTCAAAGTAAAGCACGTACTATACTATTACAAAGTGGTAAAAAAACAAAATCATTTGCTACCTACCTTTAACCAATACTTTAAAGATATAAAGCAAAATTGAATTGAGAGGAATTTAGGACTGTTGGAGGATATGGGAAGATTTGGTTAGAAATTTAATAAAAAAATTTTTTAAATGAATCAGTCAACTACAGGAAAACCAAAAAGCTACATAAGGATCGAATTATCTTACCAATGAGCTACTCTACTTAGCTAAGGAGGAAAGAATCCCTATATAGTCACAACAAAAATAATTAATTTTGAAATGTAACAATTATGCTGCAACAGTGAGAGTATGGGGAGAAGAGAGCACGTAAGAGGCTAAAATACTGTCCCAGCGTAAGAAATCATTACAGAATGCCTAAAAATGATGCAAAAAGAGACAGCATAAGTTAGTAATACGAAGGTAAATATCAAAAAAATCTAAAAGAAATGGAAAGTGGGGGAACTAATATTTTTCATGTCTTTTTAGCACTTTATATACATGTAGTACATATAATTACTTATTTACAAACACAAAGGAACTGAAAACTATTTCGAAAACATCAGGAAGACGTTTTAAGCCAGCAGCGCGTGCTTGGAAACACGTATGCAGTCATCACTATCCGCTGTCATATGTAAGGAATCGAAGCGAAGTCAGAACAGAAAAGAGGTTAACGTTCAGACAGTTACTGAAGCAGTTCTGACGGAGGGCACTCAATGCACCCAGGAGCCTAGGGGAAAGCAGACGGAGCGCGTTCTTCCCCACCAGGCCCCCTCGTCCGTCCGCATCTCCGGTGCCGGCAGCACGTGAGCAGAGGGGCGCCCAGGAGGTGCTCACGGAGGAAACAGGAAAGAGAGGAGAGCAAACTTCAGCGGGGAGAGAGCAGAGACCTCACGGGGAAGGAAAGGACAGAACGCCGGTGCCAGAGGCACACGCCTTACTCCACGCTGTTCATACAGCTCAGACACGGGGCCTACGTTCTCTTTTCCGGGAAACCAGGGTCACAGGCGAGACCAGACTGGCCCGAGCTCGCAGTGAAGAGTGTAGGGAAGGCGCAGCACCCCCGCCGACCAGCCCCTTGGATTCCCGAAGAAACACTCAACTCCCGAAAAACTCCCCCAGCAGGAGAGCCCGCCCCCAGGACTCTGCGCACGGGAAGCGCTTCAGCGGAGCCCCGGCCGGCGAGAAGGCGGCGCTCCCGCCCGCACCCCTCTCCCGGGGCCTCCCTCGGGCCGCCCCGCGCCGCCTCCGCCCGCCCCGCGCCGCCCCCGGCCCCTGCCCCACCTGACTGGTCGCCGCCGTAGTACTCCGAGTCCATGGCAGGCGGCTCTCGGCGGCGAGGGTCCGCGCCCCGCGCCGCCCCGTCACCTCCTTCCCGCGGTGCGACCCCGACGGCGCGGCCGGTGCTCAGAGGCTCCCGCCGCTAGACGGCTTGGAGAGCGCGGAGAGTAAGACCGCAGCAGCGACGGACGCCAACACTTCCACCCGGGAGCCGCCACAAGAGGCCGAGCCCGGCAGGCCGGCAGGCGTGCGGTCGCAGCGCCACTTCCCAGAAGCACCTCTGGGGCCAAAATGGCGTCTGCCCACGACCCTCAAAGGAATGCAGCGCGCAGGCGCCTTCACCTGTCATCCGGCCAATGAGAAGACGCAGCGGTAATAACGCACGGCAAGGCCGGAAAGGAGTCTACAGGGACAATGAATGGGAGCTCCGGCGTCAGTTAAATACCTTCCCTTGCAGGAGCCTGGTTTGTCCCCCAAGGAGATGGCAATGTTACTTTGCTGGTTCTCTCTCCGCACCTTGTGTGAGGAACTTCTGAGTTACTCTTCCGAAAAATAAAGACCCGCTATAATTACATTTCCCATCATACGGCCAATTAACTATCGTTCCCATCATGCAACGAGGCTCCTCATTCCCGCCCTTAATCCGGGAAGGAGGAGGCGCGCTGCTCTCTGGGACTTGTAGTTGGAAGTCTTGGGAGTTATGCGTTACTGACTGGCGTGATCTAAAGGGTTTCCTTTCAAGGTATTTTCTTCTTTTCCTTCTTTTTTAAAATAACGACTTAATTTCTATCTTAAGAAACCTTGTGGTCAACAATAGGAAGTACAGATTTTTGCTGCCAGAAAGGTCCCCTGACGAAATCTTGAGGAGGAGGGTGCCGTTGCGCTTGACTTCAGCCCTGTGCTTCCCGGAAACAGCGATGGTTGAGAAGCCCCCTGACCGTTCCCAGAACACTATAGAGAACCGCTGTTCCCCCAATGCCTTAGAGAAAACTCACCCGCCGCTGTTTTTCAGGACTCCCGTCAGACTTGTGGATGACTCTCTTGTTTACCCATTGCAAGGCCAAAGACCTTTCCCCTTTCTTCTGAACCTTCTCCTAAGGGAGGACTCAGACCTCTCCACTTCCTGTTCTTTGACTCATGAATGATTAGCTGAGTGAGAACTCTTTACCCTCATAAAGCCAGGGAGACACAGAGATAAACATTTTCTGTCCACTTGACTGACTGAAATTTCTGATTGCAAATCAGTCCCAACTATAAATCATCCCACTGAAACTGGCTCAACAAAAGTTTGACATAAGGGAAATCATCTTGTAGAAAAGAGACCCTGTTGTAACTTTGAGTGACCTCTGACTAACTAACCCAGCTGGATTTGCACCCTCCAGGAGATCCACCTGTTCTGTAGATTCCATGACCCGTGCTTGTGCATATACCTCCCAGCTGTGATAAGACGATAACGCCCTTCTTTTGAGTCCCTAGGAATGTGATGACCTCCAAACAGAGAGTGTATGCTGATAGCCATCATCCGTGACAACTGAAAGACCTGATGTGGCAACTCCCAGCCTGTAACACCAGAGGGTCAACATTCCCAACCCTCTCCCCTAAAACCCACTGGCATATATAACTGCTTCAAGATTCTGTGCCGCACCTGCCTTAAGATGGTTCTTTTGGACATTAGTCAGCCATCTTACCTCTTGCTAGCAAGCTGTAATAAAATGCCCTTTCTCTGCCACCATCTTGCCTCTTGGTGATTGGCTTTTGTCTCGTGGCAAGCGGGTCATGCCCTTTGTACGGTAACACCACTTTTGTTCCTGCGAAAGTCTAAGGCAAAACCACACTGCCTAGACACTGGTCTTCATATCTGGGATGATTTCCCTATTGCAATACCCTAAGTAAAATCCATTTCCTTATTTGTTTGCTTTTGTTGTAGAGAAAGAGAAGCATAGTCTCGCCTTTTGATTGGAGGAGGGCCAGTGGAGGTATTAGCAAAGATTCCTCAGGAGACATAGACTTGCAGAAAGAGGGCCTTTTGTTAGTTGGCAAAGCACACACCTGGGACTGGATTTCTGGGCATTCCTATCCTGCTATAAGGCATCATGTGGTGTCCTGGAAGGGCCACCTCCTACCTTGGAGTTGAGACCTGTGCATTCTCTGATGCCAGCTCTGCTATAAGTTCTCAGAGTGCTCTTTGTCAAGCCACATCCCAGCCTTGATAATCCTTGAACCCTTTGTTAGCCAGTCAGAATATGCTGGCAGAACTCAGTTCTAGGCTCCAGGAAAGGACATGAGAAGAGAAAGGAGTGGTTTCTGTAAATTCCCATTTTCTCATGAGACAGTTCGTGGACATTCCCTCCCCTCTATAGTGGAAACAGCTTTGAAATCCAAGGCCTTCCCTTCAGCTGTGGGAATGACATCTTCTCAGGCTGTTGTGAGAATCAGAAGAGCAAGGAATGACCAGTGCCTGAAACCAAAGCTACGAAATTAAAATATTCACTTCCCTCCATCTGATAGAAGAGACCCCAGGTCTAAGCTGTCTTCTAAAGAGAGTGGGTGAGGTTGTACTTGTGTAAGTAAGGCAAGGTGAATAGGGCAGAAGTCCAAGAAGAGGTTCAGTCAAAGGAAACCTAGTGAAAATCCTATAAATAAAGGTCTTGTAATTTTACCAGAGGTACAAGACTAATGGCCATAAAAGCGGTTGAGCTAAACGATGCAATTATGAGAGGATAATTATTGAATTTTAACGTAAGTTTCTAACTGTCCTGGTAGTTTGGAAGGAAGATACAAGCAGACTGAACACGCAGCAACGCTAAGCCCCAGAAGGCTGCAAAGAAGTGTCAGATTTTTGTACTCAGGAGGCCAACGATTTAGTGAGTAAGACAAGACACACCTTTGGAAATACATGTAGAGCCTGAGTTAAAGTGGTGTGCTTTTGATGCAAACACAACTCCAGGAGAGTTTCCAGAGCCCCTTTTCATCAGCTGGAGTCCCTCAGGCCCCCTGATAGAGAAATGCCGGAGCAGCACAGATGTGCCTTTCCAAGTCTTGGCCACTTTGCATTTTGAGGACTGCTGTCTCTGCAACCCCCACTCCGAACTCCAGCCCCAGCACAGTTGGACCATGCTGGTGGGGGTGGAGAGGCACCCAGAAGGGAGTCTGTTTTTCTCACCAAGCATGCTAAGGATGGAGAAGTGAGGAAGGGAGAGTGAGCTTGCAGCAGTGCAGAACTCTCTTTCCCTTGACTGATAACCCAGAGACGCTGAGTCCCTAAATGAATGAGAGATTTGTTTGGCAGCCTGTTGAGACACTGTAACTCGCTGAACATGTCAGAGAGTGAGAGGCCACACAATTTAAGGAACAGCCTGGCACTGGCAGAGCTGCAGACTAGGGGCTCAGAGCTCTGGGTTCCGGACCAAGCTCTGGGCTTATTGTGCTTGCTGAGCTGAGACAAGCTACCAGCCTTCTAAGAGTCTCAGTTGCCACATGTGAAATCAGAAGATCTCAAGGCCCCTGAGTTTCATCATTCTGTCAGCGAAGCCAGGTCTCCAAGTTGGACCCTCCTTGTCCTTGAACCACTAGGGGGCCCTGCAAGTGAAAACATAGATGAAACAAGTTCATTCTAAGCCTACTTCCCTGGCTCTGTGCACTTTCTTACACATCCCAGCCTCACAACTCACTGGGACGCAGGCAAGATTTGTCCTGCCTAGTTTCGTAATGCTGAAAACTGGAGCTCACTTGAAAGCCCGTTAATAGCGAATCACTAAACATCAGTACCATAGCACACCACACAGCCACTAACACAACTGAACTGCATCTTCACCTCTCGCATAGAAGGATGTCCAGACTATAGGAAGTGAAAAAAAAGTCATAAAATGCTATAAATGGCATGAATTTATTTATGTGAACAACAAAAACGGCAAACAAAAACCCAACCTAAGAATTCCTTAATAAATATACAGGGAAAAGGACTTTTCAACAAAGATTCAAAACCATAGAAGACTGAAAAATTTCACTACCTAAAATAAAAACTTAAAAAAAGCATATGCATGGCAAAAACAACACACCATTAGCTAAATTGAAAGAGGAATAATTAGGAAACCAAAAAAAGGGCTTTTTTCAACTTATATCATAGACCAAGGGCTAATCTCCCTAATAAATATAGACCTCCCAGAAATCAATAAGATTAATAACTCAATAGAAAAATAGGCAAAGAATATGACAATTTATAGAAGAGAAAATATTAATGGCCCTAAGATACATGAAAAGATGTTCGCCCTAAAATAAGATAAAAGCAAATTAAAATCATATTGAGATACTATTTTTCACTTTTCCGGTTGCAAAAATCTGGTAACATAGCTTTGATGAGGCTTCTGAGAAAGAGACCCTCTAGACGCTGCTGGTGGGAGTAGATTGAAAGCAATTTGGAAATATTTATAAAAATTACAAATGCATAGACCCTTTTGGCCCAGCCACTTCACTTCAGAAAACATATCCTACAAATGACATAACCACAAAATTATTCATTGCAGCACTATCTGCAAAATATTGGAAATAACCTAAGTGTCCGGGAAGGAATGACCACAAAATGGTGATACACCTGTACAGTGGAATAATATGCAGATAGAACAAAAGATGATGAAACTCTCTTACATGCTGATATAAAAAGATTTCCAAGCTGGATTCAGTGAAAAAGTGCAAAATACAGAACAGTGTTAGAGTATGCCATCTTTTGTGAAAAGTGGAAGATAACGTATATTTGTTGTTGCTTGTAGCTGTATTTTTAAGATTTGAAAATTGTATAAGAAACAGAGTATTGATTGTCTGTGGGTAGAAGGGAGGATGGGGGAAGAGGGTGGCAATGAGCCTTTAAGGTTTTTTAATAACATATACTACTTGCTCTTCCTCCACGTAACCTCTCCTCGATTCTCTTTAATTTTGTCCTGTCATATCAGATTAACTTCACAGGCCATTGATAGGTTACAGTCCCTAATTTGGACACTGGAAGTGCCCGCCTTCAGTTGCCCATGGTGTGGAAAGTACCCAGGCCAACTTGCTATGATCAGGCCCCGTCTCCAGGCCCGACGATCTGGGCAGAGCTGTCTTCATGGACTCTGGCCTTGCCTGGTATGGAATTCGTAGATGTGCGCCCTGCCCTGAGCCAAGCACCTCTCCAGTGCATAATTATTTGTGTGTGGCTGAGTAATTATTCAAGTTGGAAAAGAATTCTTTGTTTTGTTTTGTTTTAGTTTAGTTGGCTTTGGTTTGGGT